TGTGGAAGCGCTTCAAAGCCCCGCCCCTCTCCGGTACAAATAACCCCCCTCGGCTCTGACGTCAATGCACGTCAGCACAGAGAACACGATGCCTCCCGCGAGTCAGCTCGCGCACTGGCGCTAATAAGAGCTGAAATATTATAGCTCTATTGTATCGGGGGAAAAAGAGAGGTGGAGAAGAGGAGGGAGGGGGGGACGCTTTTTTGGCGTGACACGTCGCACTTCTCCCAAACCTTTCCCAATTTCTCTCTCGCCTTTAGTTCGGCTACGGCGGCTGGCAGCGGTCAAAGTGGCCGCGCGCGCGCGCTCTGGCGATTCCGTTTCGCTCATAGACATGGTTCTTGTTTTTAGTTCTGGCGGCTCGGTGCGTTCCGACCACCGCAGTGTTTTGACTCGAGGCTGAAGTGTGCTGTGTGTTTGTTTGTTTTGTTTTTTTCTCCTCCGTGTCCTGCTGTAAAGCATGGTCATGGCTGACTGTGAGCCGAAAGCGGCGCTCCGCGGGCCGGTGCGTGTGGGCTTCTACGACATCGAGCGCACGCTCGGCAAAGGAAACTTCGCTGTGGTCAAACTGGCGAGACACAGAATCACCAAAACTGAGGTGAGTGCAGAAGCTTGAGCACTCGAACAACCAGCAGCTGCAGCACTCAGACACCTGCTCATACCTGTGCAAACTTCATGCACAACTCTCTTACTGCTACTCTACATTTCCAATGCAACTTACTATCTATCACTATCACTATCACTAAACTAATGTCCCACAAGAACACAAGTTTCACACTTCAGGTTTATTGTCATGTGCAGAAAGAGCATCTTGCTTGAGCATCTATATACCATCAGATTCTTGTGCTACAGTTGCACACTCCTACCCAGACACAGTGCAAACATGATAATGAGCTCTTATGTAGTACAAAAAGTAGCAAGCTGTAAACATTGAACACAGACAAAAGACCATGCAGGATTATTAATGTGCTCTAAGCAAGTCAAAATAATAATAAACTGTAATCATTGAACCATGCAGGATTATTAATGTGCTCTAAGCAAGTCAAAGTAATAATAAACTGTAAACATAGTAAACATTGCATTACTCTAAATAGTAATGTGCTCTAAGCATGTAAAATGATGATAAACTGTAAACACTGTATGCAGTGAAAAGTGCATATAAAAAGTGATATAATGGGAGATAATGCACATACAGTACCCTGAATATTAATGTAAAATCTGAGCAAGTAAAAATAATAAACTGTAAACATTGTAAACATTGCATTACTCTAAATATTAATGTGCTCTAAGCACGTAAAATAATAAACTGTAAACACTGTAAACGTTGTATGCAGTCAAAAAGTGGTATAGTGGGAGATATTGCATATATAGTACTCTAAATATTAATGTAAACACTTAGCAAGTAAAAATAATAATAAACTGTAAACACTGAACACAGACAAAAGACCATGCAAGATTATTAATGTGCTCTAAGCATGTAAAAATAATAATAAACTGTAAGCATTGTATGCAATCCAAAAGTGATATAGTGAGAGATATTGCACATACAGTACTCTAAATATTACTCTGAGCAAGTAAAAAATAACAATAATCTGTAAACATTGTAAATGTAAAGTATCCACACTGTGTTATTTATGTTTATAACCGATCTCTGTGCTCTGGAAATGCTCGTGTGCACTTTTCCCGGGGTCTCTTTTACTTTGCATGCAAATCCTGCTAGACATGAAAAGAAATCGACCTCACTGCCATTGTTTCCTGCACAGCACTTTATCTGAAATGTGCTCAGCATGTGACAGTATTCATTCCCCGGTCAACAGTTTGTGTGAAACCTCTACAGCACCGGTCCCATATTTCCACTTTTCCATAATACCAGTCAGTACCTGATACTGAGCCGATACTGCAATCCTGTCAGAACCTGTGCTGACTCTTTGCAAGCTTCTGCCGGAAGCTTATATGAATATTACATGCGTCCTGCATTCATGTGTATGAGCTGTGTAGCATCTGTCAGTTCAGTCAACACGGCAAGAAATATGCCTAATTGACTGAAACGGAAAATGTGTTAAATCCAAGTCCACTATTGTGTTCAGTAGTGAAAAAGGCCTTGTGTAAAATACACAACAATTTATTGTTGCAAAACTGATAAAGATGATGGAGCATGTGGATATGTGGAGCCTGCTGCTGAATTGTGTGGCGGTTGCGTAAGTGTGATTTTGTGATAATAGCTGCTGTTTTGTCCATATTCATCAACAAGCCCTCACTGGTAGCTGAGAGCTTTTTATCTCCAGTCTTTTTGCATTGGCCGTCAGACAGATTTTTTTATTTTTGCTTGATAACAACAACATGCTCATGATATCCATCAGAACTTTTTTATGGTTTTGGACCACTCGGCAAGAATCATGTTGACAGTGGGGAGAGAGAGAGAGAGAGAGAGAGCAGTGCATCAGAGAATGATCACAGCTAAGAGGACTGTAAGAATGTTGTACGCAATTGACACATTTCTTGATGTGACCTGAATGCTGCAGTTCACTATCAGGAGTGTTTATGGCTCAGTATGTCACCCCATACAAAGCGTCAGCTTTGTCCATGAACCCTGAGGTCATTCGGTGGTCAGCTGGACAAGTCACCCCACTTACCACTAGTGATGACATCCACAAACTGACGGATTCGTGAAATGTGATTAGGACAGGTCTAGTGAAAATGTTAAGCACTGACCTCAGCTTAACTCCTAGAGCAAGCATTTAAATAATACTGTGTGTGTATACAGTCAACTCTGCAGGACGATTCATTTTTCTCCTCTTTGATGAGGTTGCACTCCTCAAGAGCTTATTCTGCTTTTCCTTTCAAATGAAGCAGAGATGAATTAATCACTCAAGCAGCCCCAGAACATTAAAACGCAAAGTGTTTATGGAGACGTAACCTTATTTAATCTGCAGCGCCTCCTCAATCACCCGTCTGTAGCCTGAGGAAATTATTTGAAACATTAAAGTTATTTAATCAGGCATGGAAGGCAGGTGTCTGTCATCTCCTCTCTCATGTGATCTGACTTTGATTTTCACGAGGGCATGTGAGAACTGGATCTGAAAATTTCACGCACAGCTCAGACACAACTCAACACACACAGACTACAGCCCTGGGCGTTAGACTGTCCGCTAACTATAGAGTGCTGCAGCCCTGGGCGTTAGACTGTCCGCCTAACTATAGAGTGCTGCTGTGCCCTTCAACAGGTGGCCATAAAGATCATAGACAAGACCCAGCTGGATTCGGTAAACCTGGAGAAGATCTATCGCGAGGTGAAGATCATGAAAATGCTGGACCACCCACATATCATTAAGCTGTACCAGGTAACTTTGATCCCACTTCTTTTATCAGTCCACTACATTTTATGATAAGCCGATGATGTTTAACATATCAGGACAGAGTTAATGGCTAATCCTTCTCTCAGACTTACCTCATAGCCCCCTTATGTAAGATTGCGGGTCGCTACGGTTGTAGGGAATGTGAACAGCGCTTCATTATTATACAACCGGTCCAAATGTGACCACGTAATCGCTGTGTATCATTATTTCCAACAGCTCTTCCATTCAGGCTGCATGGGTCAATTAGTCATTTCCTCTCGGGCCACATAAACAGAGGGCAGCTCGGCAGGCCCGCGCTGTGTCATCTTAAACCCCCAGCTTCCCACAGCCCTGAAACCAGGATCCACACACACACACACACACACACACACACACACACAAGCACGTTCACTCTGAGTTTGCCATATATGAGCAATATGGAATACATTTTCATAATGAAATGCTTAATTAACATAAGCAAAGTCCACAGCAACAATGGAGGAAGAAAGACAGAAACACACTGCATGCATACATTCATACATAGACGTACAGTCATACATCAGACGTACATTCATACATAGACAAGTCCACACACATATATAAAAAGTTATCTATGGCTTTATATGTGTATGGAATTATCACTGAGGAAGACCTAGGCAACTTAGTTAAGTCTGATTCCCAGAAATTATATCCTTTCCAATATTCTTTATTTATCTGTGATGTAATAATTTTACACTGAATTATAAAGACATAAAAATATTATGTCTTTATCATTCAAGCTGATTTGACTAAACACTGACTTAGTGGTTTGTCACATAGAACACCAGCAGGACAATTGTGTAATCTAATTTACATGAGATGATTCAAGTGGTTTCCAGAGATTTGCATATTTGGCAGCTGACTTGGATCAGAAGTACTTTGTGGTCGGTGTGTTATGAAAATCTCCAGAAGACAATGCTTCCCATCTAGGCAAGAAAAACAGCAGTAGAGCAGCAGTGGTTTGTTTGTTGAATGTAAGGAATAAAACTCAACAGGTCATGCTGCTGTAGGAAAACAATCAGTGCCAGGGTGATGTGATGCAACCCAAAGCAAAGCAGAGTTACTGGTCCTACCCTGAAGTTGATTATTTACCAATGACAGCACATTGCAAAGTGTTTTATTCTTTTTATCCCACAACAATTTGCCAATGATTGCAATTTTTCTTAATTAACGAATGACACATTGTACTTTTTATTTGATTATGGTTATGTTTAATGTTGTGTAACATTCCTGTCATCACGTGCGTTATAGCAGCTATATACAGTTTATAACCGAGATACCGCAAAACCCTCTGTCCTGAAGATTTTCCTGTGTTTAAAAGTTTAAGTCGTCCCTGTATAAGGCTGGTAGTTCTGTCTGAGCTATGCTGTTATAGAAAAATTAATCAACACCCTCTGACCAATCAGAACATTCAACAGTTCTGTGGTATAGTAGCCAACATCATATCGTTCTTTCAGCTGCTCCTGTTAGGAGTCGCCACAGCAGATCATCTTCCATTGTCCGCATATTGAGTTGGCAATGGTTTTATTCCGGATGCCCTTCCTGAAGCGACCCTTCCCATTTACCCGGGCTTGGGACTGGCCCTGAGAGGCTGCTAGCCTGAGCACCCTCACTGGCTGGGGTTGGTGCCTAGCATGAGGCTCAAACCCATGATCCTGAGATCAAGAGCCCCATGCTCTACCAACTGACCTAGCCAACATTTTTACAACTTCCTACTTGATTTTCAAGTGACATTTTAAATACAATAGTAGCCAACAGCATATTGTATTGAAAATGTCACCTGAAAATCAAGTAGGAAGTCGTACAAATAACCCTGCCAGTAAGAAAGAATGAACGAGTATCAGAATCTGTAATCAGTAGCTCCCCAGTGTGTCTATGATTGGCTGTGTGCATCTGATTTATAATAGATCATCTCTGCCTCCTACTTAGTTAGCCGTATTCATCTTTTTGTTTTCTTCGGCTAATTTTGGAGTCCTCCCACATATCGCTGTCTCGGTCATGGCACTATGAATCAAGCTTACGATGGAGCAGAGTACCAAGCAACCAGTCTGATTCATGCCTACACCATTGTATCACCAACAGAGAGGCATGAATCCTGCTGCAGCGACAACACAAGGCCCTAAACCGTTTGTCCATTTTCATGAACCTCATGAAACGGCACACATGCCGTGTGCTTTGTTTGCCTTTTTTTTCATTCAACCGGATCAGCTAGTGCAAGGCAGAAGGAAAGGACTGCGTGTGTAGTGTAAACATATAGTAGAGGCTGAATATTGAAAATGTTCTTTGTTCTTGCACAGGTCATGGAGACCAAGAATATGCTCTACTTGGTGACAGAGTATGCCAAAAATGGGGAAATTTTTGGTAAGTGGCTCTTAGATTTCGCTTGATCATGTTATAAATAATACAATGTAGCGGTATTAAAGCTTTCCTAATCCAGAAGTACTTTTTTCCTGCTAGCTAAGTAGCAGTCAGAAGTGGGTTTTTTTCTATTGCTGCATAAAAACTCCCTTTGTTGTAAAGGAGAAAGTGAAAGTAGTGCAGAGAAAAATGAAACTACCTGCAAACCTTATTGTTGCAAAATGTTCAGTTTCTGTCTAAACAGAGCATTGTGCTAACAGTAAAGGGTGAAAACCTTAGTTAAAATAGTGAAATTATTTACTAGAATCACCACAATATAAATTTCATTAATCTCACTAGTCTCAGCCCAAATATGGCTGCAGTACATTTCATCTTTCACAGTCTCGTACTCAACACGTGTTTATCATAGGTGATAATGTTCGAGGTCAGAATGGAGCAAACGCAAAGGCGAGACTAAACACGGAGAGTGTATGCAGCCATCATGGCCAAATAAGCAATCAGCTTTCTGTCTGCTCCATGTGCTCTCATTAGTCATGACTTTCATTACAATCTGAATACAATTACGTTACGCAACCTCTCAAAAAGACTCGGACTCTGTCTTTCAGAGTTCACAAGCAGGATCGAAAGCACTTTGAGTTTGCATTTACAGCATTTGGCTGACGTCATTATGCAAAACGATTTACGGAAGTGCTTTGCAGTCTCCGCAATAAACATATCCTTATCCTAGTACAAATAGGTCAGGGTTTACGAATAGTATCAAACTAAATTCCTGTAAGAAAGGAGCTAGTCCAATGAGTTAGTACAGCAGCAAAACAGTGCGGTTAAGGATTTTTCAAATTAGTGCTCATATCACTACTTGCTTCAGTATTTACCCTGGGGAATTTAAGGATGAGTAACACACCTGCTTGAGTTTGATTTTCTGGGTGAGCAATTCAGAATATGCAAATATACGTTTATTTCGCACTTCTGAGCTTGCCAGATTTTCTTGATTTGAAGCATCCGAGGTGGTGTTTTTCAACTAGACTACAGCCTTTAAACACAAGCACTAGCCTTAAAGCCTGAAAAAAATCAGGGATAGAAAATGCCGACTGAAGACGGAAATAGCGTTTCTTTTCTTTGATGATATACACTATATGGCCAAAAGTATGTGGACAACTGACCATTACAACCAGATGTGTTTGCTGAATATCTCATTCCAAAACCATATGGGGTTGGTCCCGCCTTTGCTGCTGGGAAGGCTGTCCGTTAGATTTTGGAGCGTGGCTGTGGGGATTTGTGTTTATTCAGCCACAAGAGCATCAATGAGGTCAGGCACTGATGTCGGGCAAGGAGGCCTGGGGCTCAGTCAGCGTTTTAATTCATCCCAAAGGTGATCAGTGGGGTTGATGTCAGGGCTCTGTGCAGGCCACTCGAGTTCTTCCACACCAACCTTAGCAAACCATGTCTTCATGGCTCTCGCTTTGTGCACAGGGGCATTGTCATGCTGGAACAGGTTTGGTCTTGACCTCTTGGTTCCACTGAAGGGAAATTGTAATTCATAGACCCACATATGGACATGATGGTCAGGTGTCCACAAACTTTGGGCCTTATAGTGTACGATATGTCGCTGCATGAATAGTCCTAGTTTCTAGTCCTTAGTTCACATTCCTCACTACAAATTTGGTTTAATTTAACACCTTCATTAATCGGTAAGTTATAAAATAGCACTTGATCCAGCACATCCTTTCATTTTGCATTGTATTTTCTATATCATGCACCGACTGCTCCACAGTTTATTCCACCACCTGAGTACCAGTACCAGAGAAGAGTCTTGATGCATGTCTTGCTAGTGTCTTGAGGGATGGTGAGTCAATTTGAGCAGTGATGAAGGCTCAGAGGGAGCATGGTGCAGAGCTTGGCCTCTTCCAGTTAAAACTTGCCATCGGCATAGATCTCACTTACATAATGTTGTTTTCTTGTTCATGGTGCATGAACCTTTGTGGCTTTTTACCAAGAAGTCATAAAAAAAACATTGATTCCTGCAGAGCTTGATTCCGATTCTCCAGGGTTTGACTCAGAGTGAAGCAATGTGGCATAGCGGAATTCCTTGTTGTTTTTGTTGGATTCTTCTGATATGGGTCGTATTCACAACAACCAAAAATTTCACTTGTTGACAGTCATTGGAGGAAATGAAAGTCAGCTTTCGTGTATGGCCTCCAGGTTGAGAACGAAGCACTAATAATCATTTATCTTAATCATTTTCACTATTATGAGTACATCAGCCAGATATTATATCAGGCTTGTATTGATTTTATATATTGGTATTACTGTCCACTGAAGGTACAGATGTTTACAGGAGCCTTCATATAGAACAGAAATCATTGTTGTGAGTCGGGGCAGTAGGATAAACCTGATATCTGTCAAAGAAAATGAAATTTCTACTTTCCATGCTTGATTAAGACTGATTTTGCCATAGGTTGTTATTCTGTTTTTATTTATTTCTGACAAATCAATACATTGAATTCAGAAAAAAGTGTGTTTTTCGTCTCCTATGTTCATATATCTACCATAATATGTTACTAAAACTACATGAAATAACAATACTGACTGAAATAAAGAACCACATGAATAGAAACAGCCAACATGACGAACCAAGGTGATATGTTAGTCATGTTTCCTAATATTGGGTAAAACTGAGTTTGTCTTGATTTTTATAATTTTAGAAAGTTAGTAATACTTAAAAATTAAATGCTGATAGTTGATCCACTGATCAACATAGCCTGACAAATTGCTCAGAAAAAATTCGCAAGAACATTCGCACTTGCACAAAAACTTTAACAAATGGAAAGAAATTACGCAGAAATTGTGGTAACCTATCAACCTTGTACATAACAATAACATCAGAGGATTGACTACTGGAGCTGAAATGGTAACTTATGCTGCGTTCGACTTGCCTTGTAAGTAGTAATTTGCAGGTTGGAATGATGTCATTTTCCACCTCAGCATGTTTGATGCCTCCATATTTTGAAAACCCTAGCCAGCTAGCTGGAGTGATATATATTTTTCTCCTCAAACAGCGATCTGTATAGTCAGTGTTTTCAATTTAACAAGCAAATTTATCTGTACGTTGATTGATCTAAAGCAAATACTTGTATATATAGCATAACTTGTTTAAAGGTAAGAAGTGCTACTTTGTTTATTTCTGATGCTGTGTGCAGCCATGTTGATTTGGCGTTACTCCATAAAAGGGGAAGGAACTCATAGTTGAGAAGACTACCCTACGCTGACGAGTTGAAATTACAAGTTGAGGTGGGGAATTACAAGTTCCAACTTTGAGTTGAACACAGCATTAATGTTGACGTAAAATGACCTGTAAAAGCCAGGGGATTCAGCCTGTAAGGCACACCTCCAGGGGGTGTAAGGACTTGTTAAAAAAGGGGAAGGTCATGAGATAAGGAGTTAAAATCAAACATGCAAGTTCAAGCAAGCTAAAAATTAAACAAATAGAGAGCGGGCAGCTGCCTAGAAAAGTTGAAATCCCAGGTATAGAAGCATTGATATTTAGAAATGTGGAATTCCACCCTGTTTTCATATTTAAATTTAATGTTTAAATTACAAAACTGAAAAATATTGCTATCAGCATTGCGTCTACTAGAACACTAAGCCCTCCACTGATGTTTATCTCAATGTAATGATAAACAAGTCATGATCATAGTATTACAAGTTTCTAAAACCCAGCTAGAACCTTATAATACTGAGATAAAGAAATGTTCGTGACATTTGGACTGAAACGTGGCAGCAGCCCTTGTTTTGATAGAGCAGGATAAAGAACAGTGTCAGGGGTTGAACAGACTGATTGTAGTCCTCTTGTGTGTGGGGATTTAGACTGGAACAGGAATCCAATAGACACTCAGTGTGATGAAGTCACCTATATGGTCGAACTAGGTCAAAAGGGGAATACAGGACAGATTGTGCAAGTCATTCGCACAAACACTGTACCTAAGCCTGATATAGATTGTAACAGACACTTTATCAGGAACACAACTGTGGGCGAACAAATAAAAGTCATGAAACAAAGTCATGAGATTTAATTAGCATTATTTAGATTTTACAAGATCTACACCAACTTTCACTCATGAACACATTTGACATGAATGTCATTCACTGTGAGACCCAAAAGGCTGTCTACTAACTGTTTATGCTCACTACACAGGGTATAACATATCTATATGGCTATTATATATAGATATATAGATATTATTATATATTATTATATCTATTATATATAGATATATATCTACATATCTATAAGAGTCACGGACTCTTTTTTTTTTTTTTTTTTTTACAATTTTACGACACAT